AGTTACTCTGCGAGTGGAGAAAGTTTAAGTATAATTTTCTTAATCTGTAGAAAGAAGTTCCTCCAGAGCTTTCCAGGCCACATCTTTGTCCTAGTCTTTTACAGTTGGCAGAGGTATGTCTTACCCTTCCTGTCAGCAATGCATGGCCTGAGAGAGGTGCTTCAGCAATAAAAAGATTAAAAACTCGACAAAGATCAAATTTGAAGAATGACATGCTTAGGTCTTTGCTTCATATAACAGTCAACGGGCCTGATAGTAGTGACTGTCATCATGTGATAGAAGAAGCAATGAAAGAGTGGCTGTCCAAACCAAGAAGAAAGATTGCTAAGTATACAGACAAACAGAAAGAAGTTGCCAAACATGTAACAGTAGATAATGCTTCTGTTCAAGTTGAGTCACAATCTGATTTGGAAAGAATTCATTCGGCATATATGAAGACGCTGAAGAGGATCTTCAAGAAGATGTGACAAGTATTGCTGAAGTTGAAAATATAGCAGCAGCTATGTTGAAGTTACCATGTCTATCAGCATCTGACAATGACTCAGAGGATTCAGACTGTTACACAGACAGCGATCTGAAATAGACTAGACTAGAGACAAATCGAAAATCTTGAGTACACCAACACTAACAGACCACTGCTCTTCCAATAGTGCTAAGTCTGAGTATTATTAATTTAGTATAGTGCTGTACCAGTGCTGAGCACACTGAATACACTACCAGTACACGTGTATCAATCAAAACAATTTTCAAAATGGCTGAAAATACCGTTTCAAGGGTACAAGTCTCAAACGTGTTGCAGGGGAGCATGTTCCATGGTCCCCCCGCTCCCCTACTAAATTAGTGCCACATTTGGACATAACCGTCTACTTCTTTCCTACAGCCACCTACTCTATATCTTAATGACAACCTTGATATTAGAAAATCAGGATTTGAAAAATTGCAAGAATATTTCAAAAATTGTTATGCAAAAACAGTAAAATACTAAGAATTTTAATTTTAAGAAAATGTTAATTATAAATTTATAATTAGCCCCCCTTCATTTTTTTTTGGGGGGGGGGGGGCGAAGCGAACGCCGAAGGCGCGAGACCATTTAGGGGGTCCGGGGAAAATTTTGAAATCTAGAGTCCCTGAAGTGCGATTTCAAGCATTTTGGGAAAGTGAAATCTTGCAGAACTCCGAAGATTATAGAGTACATCGAAGACATAAATTTTCCCAGACATTTCTAATTTTCTACTCGGAATTAAACAAATTGGAAAGAGTCACCTTGAAAAACAGGAGAAGCTGGTCAGCGTCATCTTATTTCCCCTCTATGATGCTGGGGGAAGAAAATCCCAATGTGATTTTGATCAGAAATGTTGCATTTAAATCATTCTAAGTTCTATGAGACAGCATTTCCGCATTCTCAAAA